ATATCCAGCATCATTTCTATCAACAAGGCCATATTTTCCAACTAGTGATCCTCCCTCTTTGTTTCCAAACTTTGTATTTCAGTCACCAGTAATTATCAAACATTTTGATTCCATGTTTGTTTGATTTCAGACTGAAGAACTTGGTAGAATTTTTCAATTTCATCCTCACTGGCTTTAGTGATTGGTGCATAAACTTGAGCAATAGTGGTAATAGTGGTCCTCCATGTAGGCATATGAATATTATCCTATCACACACGGCATTGTACTTCAAGGCAGACCTTGAAATGTTCTTTTTATGATGAATGAGAGGTCATTCCTCTTCAATTTTTAATTTTTGGCATAGTAAACAATGTGATTGTCAGGTTCAAAATGACCAATACCTGTCCATTTCAGCTCACTAATGCCTAAGATGTCTACATTTATGTGCTTCATTTCATTTTGGACAACTTCCAATTTTCCTAGATTTATTCTTCATGCATTCAATGCTATACTTATTAATGGATGATAACAGTTGTTTCTCCTTACTTTAAGGAGACATTGATCCATTGATAGTTCATATCTATCAGTAATCACACTAAATGTAAATAGATCAAATGCACCAGTCAAAATGTACAGAGCAGGGACAGAGGTAAATAGTGATGTATGCTCAATCATGGAACAAAAAGGACTCTGTAATACAGGGATTGAGGCATAGTCTGAATGAGTAAAAGAGGGGAAATAATGTTAATATGCTTGACTGAATGAATACTGGTTTCCTTTGCCTATTATTGTAAAATAGACACTTGAATGGGATAGAAAGGAATATAGGAAACATGATTACAGAAAGTTTGTAAGCCTGTCTTCAGCCTATAACTAACTGATCTGAATACCTAAAAGGGGTTCTAGAACTTGCCCAGTGAAATAGGCCTCTTGCAGAGCCTTTGTAGTGTATAGGACCTTAGATGGAATCCTGAGCCCCAACCAGAACCTTCTGAGGTGGGCCATTCCCACTAGAAAGGACAAACAGACCAGCATGGAATAGCTGGAGTGACAGAACACACATCTTCAAAGAAAGATCAGCAGGAAAAACCCAAAACAAAAATGACAATATAATTGGCTATGACAAAAACAAGTAAGTTGTTTGCCAAGAAGCCATCAAGGCAAGCAATTAAGTCCTTTCAGGTCAAGCTCCTCTCAAAGGGAACACACAAGCAGGCATATAAGCTTGCTGGCAGCCACATTGGTCTACTGGTGAGTGGAAGAGGGGGAAAGGCAGCAATGAAGAAATGGACTGAGTTCAACCATGGTCCATTGACTCCTGTTGGCCTGGAGATGAGAGAGAGAAGAGGAAGGGCTGGTTGGTCCAAAGTGTGGTGAGACCCGGGGATACTTGAGCCCATGGACAAGGACATAGCCACAGAGGGCTAGAGCTGAGAGTGAAGCATCCAGCTGATATGAAGCTAGGGGAGATGCACAAGAACACCCAAACTTGAAGATAGTATCCATTTGACCTAGCCTCAATGGCTTGATGATCAGAACTCAGCTAGAGGAAGATGAAAAAAAAAATTGGGCGGGGGGGAGGATAAAGGAAACGAGGGTAAATTGCTACAGTTTGATGACTTGACCTGCACTCATGGATGTAGTAGCTAAAAATACCAACTGAGAGAGAAGGAGTCTTCACATCAAGTATCTGTGTTATCCCCTCTGTATACAGGGTAGTTGGAGAAGTATATGATGTTTGGTAGGGTGGAGGGTAGGAGAAAAAGAGGAAGACCACCAGCAAGATGGATTAGCAAACTGGCAGCATCAATGGGCTCAAGCATGGCAACAACAGTGAGGTTGGCCCATGATCAGACAGTGTTTCGTTCTGTTGTGCATAGGGTTGCTATAAGTTGGTACCAACTGAATGGCACCTAACTACAACAACAACCTAAAATGAGTGGGCAATAAAGGTGTGAAGTGGCTGGCTTACAAGTTTTCAAGAGGGAGTATAGTTTAAGAGTGTGCAAGGGAAGATAGTGTCCCCACTGAATACTTTTCATCTTGTCTAGATGGGTCTGGTGAAAATAGATGGGGATAAGGTTATTATGATTCAATAGTGAGTAATTGTTATCATGACTAATTGAGACTATCACAATTGTAATGGTAGAGGTTTTGTAACAGAAATAGGGGAGTAGTTAATCTTACAGTCCAGAAACAGAGGACCCTAGGACTATCAAGGGAGAAGAGCACAGGTGGAATGTGGGATCCTATCCAGAGAAGCAGCAACACAGGGGATGGAGACAGAGATGGGGATGTGGAGAGAGAGAGCAGCTGAGGACTCTATAATCATGGGAAGAGAGGGACTGATGAGAGCTGCGACTGGGAGGCAGGCTTGCAGAATGTGTTCCTTGGTGGTTTAAATTATTATATATGCCAGACTGTTATTAAAAAAAAAAAAAGCTAAAATGAATAGGGAGAAATACTGTTAACTGATGGTACATGGAGGAGATTATGATCATTGTAATGAAACAATGTATATGGTTTGCTGAATGTAAAACTGATGATCTGCCCTGTAAACGTTCACTCAATTCACAATAAAAACTTAAAAAAAAATTGAATAGAGGTAAATAATGTTAACTGTTGGTACATGTACATATTTGCAATCATTCTAATGAAGCAAAGTATACGACATACTGAATGTAAAACTGATGATCTGCTTTGTAAACCTTCACTCAATTCTCAATTAAAAGTTTTTAAAAATGAAAGAAGAGAATAAAATCCAACTGCCTTATTTACCAGGCTTTTCCTCACTTTTTTCCCCTGTTCATTCCTGCAGTGACCTAACTTTCCTTTTTGTGGTCTCCCAAACATGTTATCCTCATTTCTCCCTTCCTCCACACCTTTGCCTGGAATATTCCTACTCTTCTCTTTTTCATGGTGTTCTGTCTAAACAACCTCTTCCTTCCCTTCCCTTTCTAGTCTTACCTGGAATGAGATAAAAACAACTAACCAAACCAACTGCTGCTAGTTGATGCTGACTCATTTTTTTTCTTTACTGTCTGTTTTATTCATTGCTATAGCTCCATTGCCTGGAACATAGATTTTGTTGCTAGTTGCTGTTGAGTCAGCTCCGACTTATAGTGACTCTATGAATGAAACGTTATTCATAGAACATAGTAGGTACTCAACAAATGTTTGTTGACCAAATGAATTCATGAGCCTAGAAGAACATGGAAAACAATCCATTCACTTCCTCTGATTCTGTCACAACAACTAATTTCTACAGTGTTTATATATGTGTACCAAGGTGCCCTAGTGGCTCTGTGACTTAGGCATTGGGTTGCTAGCCAAAAAGTTGGTGGTTCAAAACCACTAGCCACTCCTTGAGAGAAAGATGAGGCTATTTGCTTCCATAAAGATTTACTGTTTCAGAAACCCTATGTAAGGTTGCTACGACTCAATGGGAAATCCTGACATGGTTCTGTAGGATAAGCATTGGATAGCTAACTTCAAGGTTGGCTGGTTCAAACCCAGCAGCCACTCCTTGAAAAGCCTATACAGGGTTGCTAGGAGTCAGAACTGACTCGATGGCACTTGACAACAACATGACTTGATGACAGTGTTTATATATGTGTATATGACACTGTAGGAGAAGCACTGGGCTGCAAAGTCAGTTTGAACTGCAAGATCAGTGGTTCAAATCCACGAGCTGCTCTTTGGAAACCCTATACAGGGTCACTGTGAGTCAGAACTGACTCGATGGCACTCAACAACAACCACAACAGGGGAACTGTGCTTTCGGTCTCAGCCTCATCATGTGTAAAATGAAGATTTCTTGCCGATTACTCTCCTGTGCAGTCATCACCTGACTGTCTGTGGAGGCTTTTATGTTACTATGATGTTCAACAGGTTTTGGGAGATCTTCTAGACTAAGATGGGACTAGGAGGAAAGGCCTGGTGATCAGCTTCTGAAAATCAATTAAACCTTATGGATCACAATTATCCCATCTGCAGCGAATTATGGGGTGGCACAGGGCTGTTCAGTTGTGTCTGGGATAACCATGTGTTGGGACCAACTTGTGGGCAGTAGCAATAAACTGAGCTCTGGTTTAGTGCTGTAGAATAAGCACCTTACTGCTAACCACAAGGTCGGTATTTCAAACCCACCAGCTGCTCTTCGAAAACCCCATACAGGGTCACTATGATTTGAAACCGACTCGATGGAACTTAACAACAACAACATGAAGATAATAAAAGGCTATGTCTCTAAGACTATTGCAAAGATCAAATGAGTTAATGCACATAAGATGATACACACAGTAGGCATTAAACAATTAGTATCTGTTTCTTCTGTTTATTACCTCCATCTGACCCAAAATTGTTATAAGGATTAAAACAAGTTATTACAGTATATGTGGACTGTACATTGAGAATCCTGCCCAGAATATGTATGTAACTGCATGTAAGAACGTGATGCTATTATCATTGTCATCATCATCAACATCACCGACTGATGAGGCTGCTCCCACAGCCTATCTGAAAGATGCTTTCATCGAATCTCATCCTTAGCCAATCCATTTTCTCGGCCAGGACTGGAGGCCCAAGGATGCTCGCCAAATCTCTGGTCCACGCTGCTCATGCCCAGATAGCCATGGACTAGTATTCTGGTCCTTCTGGACCACAGATTTCCATTGCCCCGCCCACTGGCCTGGACCGCCTGGGGTCTCCATGGAAACCCACCAGCCACAGGAGGGCGTGACGCCATCGAGATGGACGGGGTCTCCGCCTATTGGATCAATGTTATCTGGGCGAGGACAACAAACACAACCTCTGACTGGTGCGTCCTTTCAGAAAGGCAGGAACACGGCGACGCTGTACCGCCTTTTCCAATCAAGAGCTGCGAAGGCTTTGATAGACAAACGCAGCGGGAAGAGGCCCCGAGAGCGGGCTTTTACCCAACCGGCGTCCCGATATCCTGAGGAGGAACCAATGAGAAGGCGGCGGGGGTGGGGCGAAGAGGCCGGTTGCTCCGGAAGTGGAGGGAGGGGGTGAAAATGGCGCCCAGCTCGAAATCGGAGCGGAACAGCGGGGCCGGGAGCGGCGGCGGCGGCCCCGGGGGTGCCGGGGGAAAACGGGCAGCGGGTCGACGGCGTGAGCACGTCCTCAAGCAGCTGGAGCGGGTCAAGGTGAGACCTGAAGCCTTGGAGGAGAGCGCCGGCGGGTGGGGAGCTGGGACGAGGGAGGCGGAGGAAGGGCGTTCGCGGGGTGAGGGGTTGGGGGCGGGGCTCTGGGGGAGGGGGCTTAGATGGAGGAGACTGGGGCGGGGCATCGGGGACGGGGGTTTGGATGGAGAGGCTTGTGACAGGGTCCAGGGGAGGGGGTTTAAGTGATGGGAGATGGGATGGGGTGTCAGGGAGGGGGCTTGGATGCACAGCCCGGGGTACGGGGTAGAGGGTTTGGAGCGAGGTGACCCTAGAGACTGCTGGAGGAATAAGGAAGAATGGGGTTGTCCAGGGTGAGACTCATTTTTCAGACCTGGCTCTCATGGTCCTTCCGTTATGGAGCCTTCCCGCCCCCTGTACGGAGCAGAACCTCTATGACCCGCTTTGGGCTTCTTCAGCCCCAGCTCTGCCCACACGGGAGCTGGCAGCGCCTAAACTTGGAGCTGCCTCCTCCACTGATTGGGAGGGTGCTCCCAGCATAGGGCCAGATCTTTTCTCCCAAGACTGAGAGCTATCTGAGCCCAGCAATCTCCCCTCCATAGGACATCATCCTGGCCAGTTAGGGAGCTCTGTGAGGGCAGAGATGACTCTCCCTTCAGCCCAGGAGCAACCTGAGAGAGCTGTGTGTTTGGACAGGGCCTGAGCCTTCTTTAGGCTGGGACCTCTGCGAGGGTAGGGCTGTGCCTCCCCTTTTTGACTGGGAGCTCTCAGGACTGAGGCTGCCTCCGCCCTCAGCCTGGGAGCTCCCCGGGTAGGGCTGTGGCTCCACCCTTCGCTTGGAAGCTCCTTGGGCAGGCCTGTGTCTCCCCCATCAGTCAAGGCCTCCCTGACAGGCCGTTTTCTCTTCTCAGGCTGAGGCTGTGCCCTGAGCATCAGACCTCTTTGAGGAGAAGCCTGTCTCTCCCATCATTCGGGGCGCTCTGTAGACAAGGCTCTTTGTTTTCCATCAGACTGGAGTCTTTTGAAGGCAGGACCATGTCTCCTCTATCAGATGGGCTGGCAGGTCTGAGGGTGGGTGTGCCAGCCTGCTCCCAAAGATTCTTTCTTGGTAGCATTTTTGGGATGAAGGAGTGGATTGGAAAGCTTCAGCTAATTGAGATGATGGGATAGGATTTGGACCCATCCTTCTATCTACCTCCACCATCCCCACATGGGGCCAGGCTGCCCTGAGAACCTGACTCTGGCTGTAGGCTAGTGGCTGGGACAGCTGAGTGCTAGTTACGCCCCCATCCCAACCTCTTTGATGGCTCAGGACATACACTGTATCCTTGCTGGACCTCAGAGGCCAGAGGCTCGGACAAGAAGGGTCAGAGGCTTAAGAGGTGTGGAGTTGGGAGGACAGGGTGGGTCCCAACCTCAGGTCCCAGCCCTTCCCACTTACTAGAACTTGGACCACCATTGACAGTGTGGCTGACAGGGAGGGGGGTCAGGGTGGCTGGGACTGACTGGCTTCTGTGAGGGCAGCTCTGCTTTGGGTAAGGAGTCTGGTAGCTGGAGGGCTGCAGGTAGCTGGTGGTATCAGAAGGACTTTGCCCTGTTCCCAGATCAGTGGGCAGCTGTCCCCACGTCTCTTCCGGAAGTTGCCGCCCAGGGTCTGCGTCTCCCTAAAGAACATTGTGGATGAGGACTTCCTCTATGCAGGGTGAGGCAGGAGCTGGGCTGGGGTGGGCGGCTGGCTGGGGCACAGGGCTCCCCTTGAACTGGACACTTTTACCCCTCCCCTACAGACATATCTTCCTGGGTTTTTCCAAATGTGGCCGCTACGTCCTTTCCTACACCAGCAGCAGCGGGGATGATGACTTCTCCTTCTACATCTACCACCTGTACTGGTGGGAATTCAACGTCCACAGCAAGCTCAAGCTGGTAGGGCCAGGCTGGGCTGGGCCGGACTCCACTGCAGGTTGGCATGCACCTCCCAGGGGCTTGAGGACTCCACAAAGAGTGTGACCTGCCTCTGAACCCTAGATAACTTGTCTGTAAAATGGTGATCAACTTCTCACAGGGTTGTTGAAAAGACTCTGTATTAGGTCAAATGGTAGGAAATTGCCGTTCGTACTGTGGATTCTGGCGGCAGTTCCGCGTGGTGTATCGCAGTGTGCAGTCTGTGAGCCAGCATTGGCCCAGGTCCTGTGGGACACAGCTGCTGGTAACACACTGGTGGCTTCATTGACTTTCAGCCCTGACCTTGACCCCTTGGAGAACTGTTATCCCATTTTACAGATGAGCTCAAAAAGGTAAAGGGGTTTGCTGAGGCCTCAACCCAGGAGGGCTGAGTCAGGTTTGGGACCAGTGTGACTGACTGAGTTCCTCCACTGTGCAGGAGGGGCACAACCTAGTTCCTGCCCCCACTTAGAAATCATGCCTCCCCTGCCCCTGCCCTCTCATGAGGCTGCCTGAGGCCTTATTAGAGATGAGACTAGAGGCTGCTTGGGGCTCCCTAATCTGAGATGCCAGTTCTAGCTTTGCCTTACTCCAGCATAGCATTGAGCAGCCTTGGCCTCCTCCTCCTCAGCCCCTGCGTTGTAGCCCATACTGACCCTGGAACTGCCCCTCAGGTGCGGCAGGTGCGGCTATTCCAGGATGAGGAGATTTACAGCGACCTGTACCTGACCGTGTGCGAGTGGCCCAGTGATGCCTCCAAGGTCATCGTCTTTGGCTTCAAGTGAGTGGCAGGGCTGGGGAGGCTGGGCAGAGGCTGGGCCTTGAAGAAGGGACCAGGAGGCTGAGAATGTGTCACCCCTAGCACTCGCTCAGCCAATGGGATGCTCATGAATATGATGATGATGAGTGATGAGAACCACCGCGACATCTACATCAGCACCGTGGCTGTACCACCCCCAGGCCGCTGTGCCGCCTGCCGAGATGCTAGCCGGGCCCATCCAGGTGAGGACTGGGCCTCCCGGGACATGGGCCGCCTGGTTTCTCCATCGGGGCCTCTGGTGAGACTGGTGTGGTGTGTGTGTTGCTGCAGGCGACCCAAGTGCCCAGTGTCTGCGGCACGGCTTCATGCTGCACACCAAGTACCAGGTGGTTTACCCCTTCCCCACCTTCCAGCCCGCCTTCCAGCTCAAGAAGGACCAGGTGGTGTTGCTCAACACCAGCTACTCCCTGGTGGCCTGCGCCGTCTCTGTCCACTCGGCAGGTAGGTCCTGTCACAGATGGGGAGTCCAAGACACAAAGCAGTGATGCCACTCATCCAAGGTCACACAGTGGAGAGAGGGCCACAGCATTGTCCAGTAGAACTGCACTGTAGGGAGGACTTTAGTCACTTGTGACTGCTTGGCATGTGAAATGTGGCTTGTGCATTAGAGAACCTGAGTTTTCCATTCATTACATTGCATTTGCTTTGAGTGTAAATAGCCACATTTGATTTGTGGATATCCAACATTTTACATCATTGCTTATTAAAAAAAAAAAAAAAGCAAAGGACAAGAACAGGAATGATTACTTGACAGAATGACAGGCATTGGAAAGCTGAGTGAAGCCATGTCTGACGGGGGGTGGGTGGAGGGAGAAGGACGGCCCGTGCCCTTGGGGTCTGCATGACTGGAGTGTGACTTGTGGTCCTGCAGCTCCATGCCCAGGCCTGTCCCTTCGGGGATTCCCATCAGGTCTTCAGGGGCGTGTCCAAGGCTGTGGTGGGGAGCTGGAACCCACTGTCCATCCCAACGGCAGGGAGGTAAGACAGGCATGCACTCTGACAGGAGCAGAGAGAGGGAGAGCCAGAGTCCATGTCCCCAGAGCGTCTTGGGAGGGACCTCAAGGTATAGCACACATGTGGAAAGAACCATAAAATCTGTAACTGATTCCACTTACTTATACATGAGCATGCAAGAACCAGGCAGATAAAAAGATAGCCACTAATGTCTTTAAGGAGTTCTGGTGTAGCGTTTGTGGGTTAATGGGTTGGACTGCAATGTTGGTTTAAACCAAAAGGTCAGCGGTTCAAGCTCACCAGCCGCTCCTTACAAACACTGTATGGGGTCGCTATGAGTTGAACCAACTCAGTGGCAGGTAACAGCGTTATTAAAATGACTGCTCATGGGTGAGAGAAGAGAGCAAAAAGAAGATGAGATACATATAAATCAGCTCACACGCAAGCACCTAGGGGCCTTTATCCCCAGACACATCAGAGGCTGTCCTAGCTCCTGGCAGGCTGTGCCTCTGTGGGTAAGGTGCGGCAGCACCTCTGGAGCCAGGCCACCCCAGGGTGCCAGTCCTCACAGCACCAGGATCATATCCAATGGGCTGCCACTACGGGTCCCCGGTCCTGGGAGAGGACCCTACTATGCTGTTTGTGTGCTGTCACCACAGGAGACATTACTTCTGACTCTTCCATTTTTAACCTCTCCCCCAGAGTGCTACCTCTTGGGGGATGGGAGCCTGCACCCCAGTTACCTTGGACAAGCATGTCCGGGCCTCTGTCCCTGTTTCTCTGACCTAAGAGAACGTGCTGCTCAGGGAATAGGGGTGGACTGGGTCCTCTGTGCCAACCCCACACTTCGCAGGGAAGCTGACTGTTGACACCCTGTGCTGGTTCAGATGTGACTGGTTGGGAAGGACAGAGGGCTATGTGTGGATGGACGGTTAGTAGTCACATGGCTCTCACTTGTCTGCTGTAGCCTGGCAGCTCTTTAGGGCTGGGTCTTGTCTTGTTCACTGCTATGTTTGCAGTGCCTGGCTCACCATAGGTGCTTGATATCAGATTTGAATCAATGTAAATGAGTGTGCGCATGACACGTGTGCTGAGTAGTAAGTAGGTGTTTCACTCTGATCTCTCATTCAAGGTGAGTCTTCTAGAAGGGTCTCCTCCAGGTGCATTTCTAGGGAACCCTCAGGGTAGAGGTAGGTCTGAGAGCATCTTGGACTAGAAACTTGATTCCTGATCTTTTGTATTACTTGTTTTGTTTCAGGCGATGGTGGCTTCTGCCAAATCCTGTATGACCACACAGCCTCACCCCTGGCCCCACCCAGTCTTTCTGGGCCTCAGAGCCCAGAGGTGCCCCCAGCCCTCCTCAGCTTCTCCCCTGAGGCTGCCCCAGCCCTGCCCTCTGGGACCCCTGAGCCCTCGCCTGCCATCGCCAAAGCCAAGGAGTTTGTGGCTGACATCTTCCGTAGGGCCAAAGAGGCCAAGGGTGGGACCTCTGAGGAAGCCCGGCCACCCCTTTGCCCAGGAACCTCAGGCAGCCGTTGCTGCCCGCCTGCCGAAGCCCTATCCCCTGGTGGGGAGGCAGTGCCCCGGGATAGCCCCCCTGCTGAAGAGGCACCTGCCCCGGAGCCTGGCTATGTCAACTACACCAAGCTGCATTACGTGCTTGAGTCAGCAGAGGGGACTGAGCCAGAGGATGGTGAGCAAGTGGGGTCCCGGGCAAGGGGTCAGCATGGATTTCCTGTCCTACTGCCTCCACTATTCCTGTTTCCTGCCTCCTGACTCCCTAGAGTTTGAGGATGATAAGATCTCCCTGCCTTTCGTGGTGACTGATCTCCGGGGCCGCAACCTTCGGCCCATGCGAGAGCGGACAGCTGTCCAGGTTGGTGCTGGGGCCCCTGGGGAGCCTGCTGGTAAGAGTGGGAGTGGTACGGCTTTCACTTGTTTCCTGCTCACCTGTCCACAGGGTCAGTACCTGACAGTGGAGCAGCTCACGCTGGACTTCGAGTATGTCATCAATGAGGTCATCCGCCATGACGCCACTTGGGGCCACCAGTTTTGCTCCTTTAGTGACTATGATATCGTCATCCTGGAGGTAGATTCAGGAATGGGACAGAGCGGGCCCAGGACCTCCATTCTCTGGGGTGTCACCCTCAGTGGTTGTCACCATCTACTCTTTGTTCCAGGTGTGCCCAGAAACTAACCAGGTCCTCATCAACATTGGCCTGCTGCTGCTGGCCTTCCCATCCCCCACCGAAGAGGGCCAGCTTCGGTGAGTAGTCAAGGACCCCTGTCTTAGAGAGAGCCACATCATTGCCAGAAAGAAGACCCTCGTCCCCAGCCCCCACCTCCAAATCATGCATCTGCCGTTTGTCTTAAGACTTGATCATCTCAGGGCAACTTGCTTTCCCTTGAGACGAGGTGAACTCACCCTCTTCCTTTGTACCCATTGCAGACCAAAGACCTATCATACCAGCCTCAAGGTGGCATGGGACCTCAACACAGGCATCTTCGTGACAGTTAGCGTGGGTGACCTCACTGAAGTCAAAGGGCAGACCAGGTGAGGCAGGATGGGGTGGTAAGTGGGGGACAGCAGGGTCGGGAGAGGGGAGAGCTGCTCACCCCCTCATCTCTCAGTGGCAGCGTTTGGAGCTCATACCGCAAGAGCTGCGTAGACATGGTGATGAAGTGGTTGGTACCTGAGAGCAGTGGCCGATACGTCAACAGGATGACCAATGAGGCACTGCACAAAGGTGGGGCTGGGGGCCCAGGACAGTTGGGACCAAGGTCCTAGCTGGCATGGGACATGCACTTTTCCCAGAACCAGGTTGGATTGGGGCAGGTCGAGGTTCTGAGTGCTGGCTGGAGGTTGGGGACAGGGAATCCTGGCTGAGGACTAATCAAAGGCCTTGGTGGGTGGGACCTAGTGGGACTCAGGTATATTCAGCTCTCTGGTCTCAGCCCATGGGGTGGGAGGCATTTGGAATCCTCATGACTCTGCTCCCTCCTCCCTACAGGGTGCTCATTGAAGGTCCTGGCGGACAGTGAGCGATACACATGGATCGTGCTGTGAGGGCCCTGCTGCCCAGGACACTGACTCCAACTACCTCCGCGGTCTGGGAGCTGTCTGCTGCCTGGGCTGGCCTCTTCCCGGCCTCGGGCCAGCCAACTGAAGACCAGCACTAGTGTTAGGCTGCGGGGGATGGGGGTGGTAGGGGAGGGGGGTGGCTGGGTGGGGGCAGCCCGAGGCCTGAGAGTCTGGATGCTTCTTATTTATGCCTATTTAAGTTGGGAAGGGGCAGAGAGAGGGAGCCCCCTGCCCCACTAGCCACGGGTGCCCCATTTCTACCCTAGTTGGGCACAGCTGGTTCCTTGTGCATTTGCCCCTTTCCTTGCCTCGGGAGGTGTGGACATTCCCTCTGGGAGGCTGAAGAACCCCATTGCCTACCCACCCCAGCCTCCTCCACTTGGTGGTGAGAAACCTTGTGGCCATTCACCCCCCCCTTTGATTCCTCTTCATGTAATAAATGTTTTATTTCTGAACCTTGCCGAGGTTCCCTCATTGCTGCTCAGGCCCCAGGAGCCTCCCTACCCCCACCTCCATCCCCGCATCCCAGCAAATCAGCAGTAGCCAAATACCACAGTGGAATTTATTGTGTTTTAAGAAAGACTACAAAAAGGTAGAAAACAGCTCGGCACACTAGACTACCACACGTGTGGACACTGTCACTGCCGGGAGGGGGAGGCCTCCAAAGCTGTAGCACGCGGAGCACACAAAATAGTGATTTTTGTACAATAGGTCAGTTTGTTGTTTTTTGTTTTTTTTTCTTTTCTGTTTTACCATTAAACATCGATCGCAGCACAGGTTGAAGACACTGAGAAAACTAGAACAGATAAGGCCATGATAGTTGGAAACAAACCCAACAAGTTACCGACTCCGCTTGGCGCTCACAAATCGCACAATAGTCATGTGGTTCAGAGGATGGGGGTCACACGTCACAGAGGACGGGAAGAGTAGGAGCACGGAGAAGGTTCCATTACAAACCAGCGTGGGGAAGGGGGCATCGGGCACGGCTGGCCCCACTGCCTGCAGCAGGTCCCCCCGGGGCCGGGCTGGGCTGCCCGATGCTCTTTGGAAGCTGGAGGCCAGGTCTCCCCCACCCCCCTTAGCCAGGCTGGGGAGTGCCACCCTCGGGCTAAGGGACAAGGGAAAACCTAGCTCTGGATAAGATGCCACACCCACGGCTTTAATTGCACTTATACCAAGAGGGGGGAGCAGTGGGGTTGCTAGCGGAGGGCTTCCAGGCTGCTGCCAACAGTGGGGGACCCCAGGTGATACCCACCTGTGCCCGCCTGGGGCTCAGGCTGGACTCAGGATAGGCTGTGCAAAGCCAGCGAGCTGAATAAGTTAACAGTTCTGCAGGGGAGGGGGCCTGCCTGCCTGCCCCCTTGGGTGGTGAGAGGGCCTGTGGGGGAAGGGAGATGCTGCGGCCTTCAAGGCCAAGGGACCCAGCTGGCTGCCCCAAGGGGCACCTGGGCACGGCGGCAGGTTCCTTAAGGCACATCTTTTGTGTCAAGAGTTTGCAGGTGCGGCTCCGCCGGGCCTGTGATTACACCAGCCCCATTGAGTGGGCGAGGGCCCTGCCTTCCAAGGCTCCTCTCTGCCCTGGCCGAGGCTGGCGCGGTGACAGTGAAGCCACAGAAGCAGTCAGGGACCCTGGCGTGGGGGGTGGTGGGGTTGGGCGGGTGGGGACCCGGGCCAGCGGCCACGGGTCACGGGACTTAGCTGGAGGGCAGCGCTTGCACGAAGAGGCCTCGCGCATCTGGCCGTGCCAACTTGGCGGGCGGCTCCAGGGCCTCGGGACCCAATGCAGGCGACTCGCCTCCATCTGCTAAAGAGATGTCCTGCGGCAGCTCATCCTCGCTCTCCTCCTCTTCTTCCTCCTCCTCATCTGGGCACATGGACCAGGCTCGGCTCAGAGAGCGGCAAGAGCCGGTGGGTGAGGTGAACCACTGCCCGCCGCCTCCCAGGCCCGTGTGGGGACGCTTCCAGCCTACCTTTGTCGGGGTCCAGGGGGTTCAGCGAGGTGGCCAGGTTGGCGAACTAGAGGAGAGAAGGTAGGGAATGGTGAGGACCCGATTGCAGGTGCCCCCCACCTTGCACCCTATGCCCCGTATGTGCCCACCTCGCCCATGACTGCGATAGGGGTCTCGCCCTTGGCCTGGGCCACACGGTGCTCAATCAGGTAGTACATGTACTCATCGTAGAGCAGCCGGATGAGGTGGAAGGAGCCGAAGCTGGCAGCGCTGCGCAGGGTCAGGTCCCGGATCACCATGGAGCTGTCCACGCAACAGAGGGGAGGCCATTCAGACCCGCCCCTTGACCCCCAATCCCCTCAGGCCACGACCCAAGGGGAAGGAACCCTACTGGGTCCCTCCCACGTTGGGAGGAGACTACTGCAGCCCCGCCCTCCCAAGAGGTTGTGTCTTCCCGGTCTCCAACCCTAGCAAACCCCTGCTGGTGTGCGCACCTGTAGAAAGACCACTTGAGAAGAAAGAGTTTGGCAGCCTTGGGGAAGCCAGCACTGCCCTGGTAGGGCTTGAGCACCTGGCTCACGACACCATCCAGCCAGGCAGCCCATTGTTCCAGTGAGTTCTGCTGTTGCAGCGTCACCTTGAAATCCTGCTCTAGCCGCTGCACCACGCGGTCTTCGCAGCGACACACCCACGAGGCCTGCTCCTAAAGCACAGAGGACAGAACCAGGGCTCAGTCCCTGCCCGGGGTTCACCTGCGGCCCTCTAGCCCAACCTCCCTGCCCGCGCTCACCTGCACGTTGGCGAAGTCAACGCGGTTAAGGTCGCTCAGCATCTGGTTGATCTGTGCTGTGTTCTGCAAGACTGCACGGGCCGCTTGAGCCAGGTGGTTGAGCGACGTGTAGCGCCGCAGCGTCTGTGCAAAGGCACCGGCCGCCGCAACCTGGGGGACCCAGGCTTGTGGTTTCTACAGGACCGTACCCCATCCCACCCCGCTGCAGCTCTTAGGGCTCACAACACGCCTAGACTCACATGGGGAGCACAGATGAGTTAGAGCCCACTTTTCTGGGCGTGTGACCTCTGCTAACTCTTTGGGCCTTAGTTTCTTTGTTTCTTAAAAAGGGATGATCACTGTGAAACGCTCTTAGGGTGCTTTTCACACGTTGGACGCTCACCCATCCTTTTCCTGTGTTCTGACCCACAGTCCTTGTTAATGGCAGAACACAATAGAAAAGACTGGCAGGTACTGCCTGGAAAAAGCAGGCCTTGTTTTGTTTCAGTTTGTTTCCCTGGTGTCAGCTTTAGTCAGACATTTTGCCCCAGGTATACTGCAGTTCTCCCAGCACTGAAAGCTACGCCGGGCACCCAGTTGTTGTTGTTAAGTGCCATTGAGTCGGTTCCGACCCATAGCGACCCTGTACAGGGTTTCCAAGGGTGTAAATCTTTATGGGAGTAGAAAGCCTCATCTTTCTCCCGCGGAACCGCTGGTAGTTTCGAACCACTAACCTTAAGGTTTGCAGCCCGATTCGTAACCACTACGCTACCAGAGCTCCTTAGCAGCTCAATAAATGCAGAAGGGAATGACTAGGTGCTCTTTCTAAGGGTCTCCTATGTATCCAGCATCTACTCTCTCCAGTCCTTACCTGTGTGAGGTACCTACACCCCACCAGGGGAATCCTTCAGACTTTCCTTCTGACCTTTTCTTTAAATAAATTAGATATATAACCCTCCTATCTCGGTAGTTACCAAATGTGTTGTTAGGTGCCATCGAGTGGGTTCTGACTCAGCGACTGTGTGCCCAACAGAATGAAATGCAGCCTATTCCTGCACCATTCTCACAATTGTTATGTTTGAGCCTTTGTTGTGGTGGTGAAGTGCTCTCCAGTCAATTCCTATTCATAGCTACTGTCTGTGTAGGTTCTCCAAGAGCGGCTGGTAGATTTAAACCATTGATTTTGGGGTTAGCAGTGCAGTGCTTATCCTACATTGCTACACCAGGAATCCTATTGTTGTGTGGCACTGGGCTGTTCCGTTTCCTTACAGATGTCTTTAAAAAAAAAAAAAAAAAATTATGTATTTCTGAATCCCAAAAGCACTTTCCATGAAGGGGCCTCAAGAGAACTATTTCTCAATTTGCACTTGGTTTTTGTCTTTTTCAAAAATGCTGTGTGAAGCACAGAGCTACAAATGGGTTAGAACAGGCATCTGAAGAAGTGGGTTTATAAAGACCATGCCCCGAGCTGCTCTGGTTGTTGTACTGAGGCGCACACACCTGGAACGCACTCTTGGCACAGGTCTAAATGGAGTAGGCAGAGAAGACTGAGGCCTGGGGTCCCATGCCCTGAAGCCACCAGCCGACTCCTCAGGCACCCCCTCACCTTCACCCGCAACATCTCCTCAGGGATGTTCACCATGGCATGGGTGAGCCAGCTCTCCAGGCTCTTGGCAAAGTTCCGGATCGCTTGGGTCAAGGCACCTGTGGGGGGTAGTGGGGGCTGGTCAGGCTAGGGATTGAGGGGTGGCACATGGGAGGGCCGGAGGTGCATACTCACTGGGGATGGGCCGCAGCACGTCAGGGATGAGAATCTCCACCAGGCCCTGGTACAGCAAGTTGTCACAGTGCTTGGTCCACTGCAGCACAGGCTCGAACTTGGAGAGGAGTACCAAGCTGGCCTTGGGCAGCCGCTTCTCGGCCTCATCGTGCCTGTGGGCACCACCCACCCTGGGGTCAGGCAGGCATGGGTGCCCCCACCTGGGGTCAGGTGGGCACTTTATCCCTCCCCAGGTCTGAATGGAACATGCCCAATGTCCCAAGGGTCAGATGAGGATCTTACACTCTGCACACGGACGTCCCTCCACTCCAAAGACCAGGTGTGCCCCTCCCCCAGGTCTGGTCACTCACGCACTGAGTGTCGGATGGACACACGTGCACTTGGGGGTTCATATGTATACATGTAACCCACATATTGCAGGGTTAGACAAGCGCCGACACCCACCCCCACCCCCACCCCCCCGGCTTGTCTGCTTGCATGGGACTTACACGGCTAGTGTTGGCGCCTCGCTGGACTGGCTGAGATTGTACCTCCAAAACGTTTTCCAGAGAGTCTCCACCAGGGTGAACTGTAGGTTCACCATGACGTCGACGATGGCCTATTGGGGAGACAGGACTACTGAGAGGGGCCTGGGGAGCAGCGTGGTCCTCCCAGCCTGTGGCTGCAGCCCTACCTCACAGTGTTCCCGGTATAGGAGCTGGAAAGCCTTGATGTCCCCAGGCCCGACGCCCTCCGGTAACACTTTGCCCTGGAGATCCAGCTCTGTGAATTCAGGGAGGCTCCGGGAGGCATCTGGGGGTGGGGAGAGCCGGACACCATGAGACCCTCAGCCCTTGCCTGTTGCCCCCTCAAGTTTCCCCAAGACCCTATTACATTGTCACCACTCTCCTACCTCATAGGTGGTCCCCACGTGCAATGGAGGACACAGAGGCTCAGTGAGGGCATGCACCTGATCCAGAGTTCCCCCCAGAAAACTCCAAGTAGGGGGTCCAAAATGGGGAAGATTCCAGACCCTGTGTGCTTCCCACCCAGAGACTATGAGTGGCTCATTCCAAGCACAGCTTGGCTGCTAAGTGGCAGGCAGCAATGCATCAGCACCTAGGACCTGGGACTCCATCCCAGCTGCCAGAAAGCAAACCCAGGCTCCAATCAGGAGCACCAGGAAGCTGCTCTAACGCCTGAGGGCCCAAGGTGGGGAATAACCAAGGACAGTCACCCCTGAGACACCACTCAACTTGTCAAGGAGTGTGGTCTCACACACACCCAGGTTCATGATGAACCTCTGACATCGCAGCCATGCCATGGGCATATGCTGGATTCTTGGGATCTGCTCGCTTCACGACTGCATTTTGCTTTGTCTTTCTTAAGAACTGCCAGCTCTCACGTGCAGCACACTGTTGTGAGCAGTGTCAGACCTAGGGTGGTCTCTGCTGCCAGGGGCCTGGTTGGTGAGGGAATGAGCATCATGAGGGAAAGAAGGGGAGTTGCCCTCATGAGCAGCCCAGCGAATGTGTCCGTTTATATGGGATTTAGAGTGTTTTAGCATGAGGGAAGCTGATTGGGGGCTCAGGTCAAAACCAAAGCCACTGCCGTCGAGTCCATTCCAACTCACAGTGGTTCCAACCACAGGACAGAGTAGAACTGCCCCATAGCGTCGTCTCCTGGGATAGAAAGCTTTATGGAAGCAGAGCAGATGGTAGATTTGAACTGCTGACCTTTTAATTCACAGCCAAGTGCTTTAATCACTATACCATCAGAGCTCCGCGGGGGCTTAGTAACAGACAAATGATCCCCATTGGAACTAGTGAGAATTCACCTTGAAAAGAGGTTTGGGGATGGAGTCATGTTAACAGGTGGAGATGACGGTCAGGTCAGACTGGCGTGGGTCCTTCCTTTAGCTCCAGCCCAGTCCCCACCCACCCGAGGGACTGACCCCGGTTATGTTTTAGGAAGATGTGTGAGGCGATTGCTGGACATCTGCCTCTCCCAGGTGAGACCCCTCACTGGGCCCGCCCTGACCAGGGAGCCCCTCACCCAGGAACTGCTGGTACTGCTGAACCTGGGCACTGATGTCCGACAGCCCAGCGGCCTGCTGCTGCCCCACGGCCACACCGTTGGTCATGCCCTCCATCTTCTGGATGGGCTTGAGCCTGGGGGAGAAGGGTGGGTGGCTGGGTGGGTGACGGCTGGTGGTCACCCTTTCCCACCCATCCTGGGTGCCTAGGCCCCCTCCTACCTCTGCTTCTGCGAGAAGGGTTGGCCTCGCATGGCCATGTGCTGCTGATCCTCCATCAGGCGCAGCAGGGGCGAGTTGGCCTTGATGCGCAGGCCGTAGTAATGGTACTTGGAGTTGCCTCTGGGAGGTACAGGGTAAGGGCTAGGTGGGGCTGGGGTAGGAGCCCCACTCCACCTCTGCCTCCCCTCTGCTTAGGAGCTGGGTGGTGGCCTTGGGCCCTACCCTGGGGAAGCCAGAGCTGCTCAAATGGTGGTGGTGGTGGGAACTGAGGAGGAGGTTGGTGGTCCCTCCTGCCCCTGCAATGACTCTGCTCACACCTCAACCCTGATGCAGCACAGGGCAGGCACTCAGCAAAGACTTCACGATAGCTAGTCATATTACTAACTGGGCCTTCTTATACAGGCTAAGCAATGCCAGTGCTGCTAACCCGCCTGCCTCTATGACCCACTTGAGCCTCATCCCTGATGACACATGAGGAAACTGTGGCTCAGAGTCAGCGAATGAAGGCACAGATGAGCTTGCTCTGAAACTAGGACCTGGAGTTGAGAGGTCAACAGGGATTGGTGGGATAGACAAAGAAGCCAGGTTTCCAGTGGTGCCTCATTGTTTCCTACGTGAACTCAGTGACTCAAAGGTCCTGCTTAAGCACCAAATGTGTGCAGCCTTCCCTACCCCACCCCTTCGAGGGTTCACTTCCATGTAGGAAGACAGACCATAACCAAAGGCAGTCAGGAGAAGAAACAAGGTGCTGGATGGTGCTAAGGAGAGAGCAAAAGCAAGGACAGAGCATCAGGGAAGGAGAGGGATCGGGGACCAGGCAAAAGGCAGCTGTGCAAAGGCCCTGAGGAGGGCCCACGAGGGGCCACTGGCATGTGGTGGGGTGGTCTTGCGGGCCCACCTGGTGCCGAGGCGGCGGGTGCGCAGGCCCATGAAGACAGAGCGGATGAGCTTGCCGAACGATGCAGCGTTGACAGGCTCCAACTTCTGTTCCTGGCAGTGCAGCAGGTAGTGGCAGTAGAGGGTACTCCGGGGTAGGCTGACGCCCTCCGCCGTCTCATAGTTGTCCAAAAGCCACTGGACCTGGGGTGGGAGTGGGACCAGGACAGCACTGAGTGCCCAGCTGTGACCCTCACATCCTGACAAGGCACATCACCGCCTCATCAGCCCTAGCACCCGAATCTCAAGGAACTCTCTAGAACCGCACTATCTGATACAGTCACCACTAGCCACATGCAGCTACTGAGACGTCCATTTCATTTCTACTTAATAAAGAAAGCCACTCTCCAAAGGCCACATGCTGTACATATGATTCCATGGACATGGCATTCTTGAAAAGGCAACATCAGAGAGATAGAAAACAGAGCAGTAGATACCAGGGGTCAGGATGCCAAGAGGGAGGCAGGTGGGCAGAACCATGAGCGAGTAGCAGAGACGCATGCCACGGCTCAACTTTCAGCCCAACGAGCCTATAAGGTGAACAAGAGCCCCTGGAGGTGTACATGTCTACGAACCACTGGAGCATTTACCCTGGGATAATGCTCAGGATGAAAGGATAGGAACGGAAGGATAGAAACAAGAAACACAGGGAAGAAGTGGGAGGAGGGCAGTTACGTGGTGAGGCCCAAATCTACATCATGAATCAAAATGTATGTCAACTGTTGATTGGACAACCAGTTTGGTAAATAGACTTTCCCCAAAATCATAACTAAAAAAGACATAGATGCAGATTTTTGGGGTAAAGGAATGTTCTGTCTCCTGTTGGTGGTGATGGTGGTTTCCAAACTCCACACAGATACTAAAATGACCAGGAACCACACACACATTATACTAATGGGAGTCTTCTGATTTCCATGTAGGATGTAACCACTAGGGGAAGCCGGGTGAAGAGTACACTGGGCCTTCTCTGTCTTATCAGTGCAGCTTCCCGTGACTCTACAAGTAGGCATTGGCCCAATGGCAATGGCTTTCGCATGGTATACTTATTTCAAAATAAATAGTTGAAAATAAACTGAGTTGCTCAGTCGCACTAGCCACATTTCCAGCATCCAACAACCACATGTGGCCAGTGGCTACCACAGTGGGCAGCAGGTGCAGCTTGACCAGAAGCTCAGGAGCTCACTTTGGTGGCTCATGGACCAGCAGGCAAAGATAAGAGAACACAATAGAAGAAGGCAGGATGTTGAGTGTAAGGGAGGTCCTGTCTTCTGAACTCAGTTAACCTCACACACTCCACAGTGGGTGCGCTTGGGTTGAGATACAAGAGTTACAAACGTGGGAATCCACTGCTCCCGCTTGTTGGGGGTAACCACCTCTGAGAGAGGGAGGCTGTGGAACCCGCCATACAGATAGACACAGAGTCTCCCTCAGGGCTGTTCTGTCTGCTTTGCCCTCCCCTCACTATGTAGCCTTCATCATTAGTTAGAATCCACTTCTGTGGCACTCCTCTAAGAGCTTCAGGTCCAGGGAGGCTGAGTAACTTGTCCCAGGTCACACAGTGTGGATCTGACCTCAGACCATCAGCACCTGTGACAAGCCTCGGGCTGCTGGTGCCGGTGACCACAGACTCTTGTGCCTGCAGCCCACCTCTATCACCCAGGGTTGGTTCCCCCTATCCCACGTTATCTGGGGCCCAGGCTGCATACTTACAGTGGCTGGCGAGGCACGGGTGGTGTGAGAGTAGGACTGGCTGGCACTGCCCAGCATGTACCCGCCTTGGATCACATAGGTGCCTGCTCCGCTGCTGTTGCCGCCACCACTGCCACCGCCGCCGCCGCCGCCACCACCACCTCCCGCGCCACCTGCGCCTGTGCCACTGCTGTTGCTGCTGCTGCCGCCGCTGCTGGTAGAGCTGGCCACAACCTGGCTGCCGGACACATACATGGGCACGGAACCACTGCTGGGCACTGCCTGGGAAGCGGCAGGAGTGCTGACCTGGGCAGCCGTGCCTGTGGCCTCGTAGTAGCTGGTGCCAGCCGTCTGGGTGTATAGTGGCGTCTCTGGGTAGGGGTAGGTGCTGGAGCGGCTGGGGGAAAGCAGAGGGAGCAAGTCAGGGGGCCTGGCTCCTGGAGGGGGAGAGGCTTCTACCCAGCCACAGGTTCAGGACAGCAGCAGGCTCCAAATGAGAGAGCCAACAATTCCCCGCAGTGGATCAGGCACCAACCGTGTCACTCTGCTCATACAGACACAAGAAAGCTGAGTACAGCGGGAAGCTCTGTCCCAATACCGGTTATGGAGCATTTTCTGCGTGTCGGGCCCTGTTCTAGATACTGCAGACAACCACGGACAAAAGAGCAGACACCAAGGAACACAGGAATCGTCAGGGTAACAGAAGGGGTTGTGTGCTGAAGACGCAAAGGAGGCAGGAAAGGCGGACCGAGAAGAAGGGGGATTGACTTTAAACACAACAGTCACGCTGAGGGGCCATTTGCTAACTGTAAGTGTGCAGATGTCAGTTCCTTGGGACAGGCTCCTATCCTGTCCCTGGGGGCTGACCCTACACCCTCCCTGCTCCTCTCTAGATAAGATGGTAGAGCCTGCACAGAAATTGAGGAAGGCTGCCCTGTCCTACTCCAGAACACGCTGTTACATGAAAAGAAAAGAAGGGTAGAGGATGGACTGGATGGTGAGTCGGGGGAGGGAACAGCGGCTGGAGTCTGTCCTCTGTGGGTGGAGGGCACCCTGGAGTGGGGACACGCAGAGACAGCACCCTCAGGGTTTTACTGGATGTCTGGAATGGCCCTACAGCCCTTGCAGCTCGCGCGTGTTAGGGACTGTGCTGTTCTGCCACTTCTCTGGCATGAGGGTGCTAACACCAGAACCCACAACAGAACTGTGAAGCATTGGTCACCCTCGGGTCTAGCCAGAGCTTCATGCCCAAGGAGCTGTGACTGTAAGCTAACTCCCAGTGCCATCCTAGGGTAGGCAGACAAGTGCAAAGGAAGTCAAATTAAACTTCTAGAAGCTCAAATGACAGCAGCAATCACTACAGTCCTACAGTTATTGCTTCGCAGGTGACGAGGGGAGGAGGCCTTAGGAATCCCACTGTCTGTCCTCGTGCAGTGCATGGACTTGAGACCATGTCAAATCCCACATCATGCCGCCGACAGTGATCACAACAGGGACTGGCCAGTTGGCTCCCTAAACATCTGAACTGGGGTGTATGTGTGGGGGTGTGACTATCACGCAGTGGGTCTAAAGGACAACCCTATCCACGTGGATAAGGGAGATAGCTGCCAGGTGTGTGCACATCTGGGGAAGAAGTGGGACACAGCCTGTTTCTACTTTAGCATAAGAAAGGAATGCTTTTCTATCCTGTGGCTATCCCTGGGGGTTGGAGGGGTTGGGGGGGGGGGAACACAGAGAAACTGGGCACAGTATCACCTTGAGAGGAGGTGGAGTCCAGAGTGAAGAAGATCCTAAAATTCCCTATCGCTTGGAAATAGTCCACTTTGCCAATATTTACAACAAATAAATGCAGATTTTAGGTAATAGTCAGGCTGACCACCAGGGCCCATTGGCCTCCTAGGGAGAGCACCCACCCTGCTGATCCTGGGCAACAACACTCACATGGCACTGGCTGTGTAGCTGGCGTCACCACCCTCCACATACTGCACCTGGCTGGAGTACACGTGTGGGACAGGCACCTGCTGCAGCTGTTGCACCTAGCCGGGAGGAAGGGCGCAGAGGCTCAGGGGTGGACATGCACACCCCAACTAGAAGGGCACACTTCAGCTTTCTCGACACACCCTAGACAGGGAGACACCCTGGACAAGATCAGGGTTAGAGGTCCAGGCCTGAGGCCTTGGCTAGGATGGGGACTCAGCCCAAAGAAGGCTGAGAGCGAGGAGTCATGTTAGGAGAGAGGATTGGATTCTCCTGCTCAGGCTGAGGGCAGGAACCACACAGGGCTGAGATGAGGCAGCCAGAGGGGCCAGGCAGCAGCCTATGTGGCATGAAGGCTGGACCCAGGGGCAGTGCCAAGCCCTGAGCCCAGGCCCATTGCTAAAGCAGAACTCTGGGACCATGGACAGAGCCTGAGGGTGGGGCTGGAAGTGGACTATCCTTTATCCAGGAGGTCTTCTTTAGGGTCTGGGCCGGAGACCAAGGACATTATACATACTAGGGTACGAACCTGAGACCAGACCTGGGGCCCCAATTTGTGGGGCAGAACTGAACTACTGACTGGGTTTTAGGGGCGGGGCCTGAGTACCCCACCCCACCCCCCACCCAGGCTGTAGGGGCTGAGCCTGGACCCTGGGCTGGGCTTTGTGGTTAAGAGACAGGCTAGATGATGGTAGGGTGTACCCTACGGATGGGGGGAGGAGGCCTGGGGGGCAGCCCGGGCCGGGCGCGGGCCGGAGCCGCAGATCCCGCCCCCGCCCGCCCGTCTGTCCCCACCTACTTTGAGGGCCGTGGCGGCCGTGCTGAACACTAGCACTTGGGGGACTCTCTGGATCCTGACCCTCTGGTCGGGGCTGGCTCGGGTCGGGAGCCCGGGCAGTGGCTCGATGACCACTTTCTGCTGCGGCAGGAGCAGGTGCGGGGGCAGCACGCGTACCAGCTCCACCCACTGCTCCGCGCCGGGCTCGGCAGCGGGCGCCGCAGCTGCCGGCAGGTAATGGAGCCGCGGCGGCTCGGGGCTGCCTAGCTGCGGGACCTCGCCGCTGCCCTCGAGCAGAAGCGGCGGCGGCTCCGGCGGCGGCGTGGGCCGGGCCTCCTGCTGCTCTGCCTTCCTAGCGGGAAACTGACTGCCTGAGCTCTGGAGGACAAACAGAGACACTCGGGGGTCACCGGGATGCGGCGGGCGGGGCCCAGGCCTCGCCGCCCACCAGGCTGCTGCCCGACGAAGATTCCCACCCGGCTTCAGAGACTGGAAGAAACTGTCCCAGGCTGGCCGCGCAAGAAAGAGGTGGGGCTAGAATCCAGGTCTAAGAGCAAAACCCTGCCCCGAACTGCAGGGGTCAGGGCTGGGGAAGGGACCAGCCAAGGTGGGCTCCATCCCCTCCCTGTGGCCCCCTCAGAACTGCACTCTTCCCCAGCCCCAGTTTGCCCTCTTGGTAGACAGGAAGACACCCACCTCTTGAGTCACGTGGACGGGTTGAAGGCCCTGCACTGTCAGCTGCTGTACGGGCCCTGCTTTGGGTGTTTGTGGCGTAGCCTGGACCACGGACCTCTGGGAAGGGAGGCAAGGCCCACTAAGGATATGGCAGTGCCCCCTGCATACTCAGCTTCCACCACCCTGACAGCAGCGCTGTAGGCTCAGCCCAGCGGCACCCTTGGACACCCAGCCTTCGATGCAGGGAGGGGTTTGGAAACGAGAGGGTGACTGAAAATAGCAGCGCTAGGGTACAAGCCCGGCTTACACCTGCCCACCTACAGGGTGTCATCTGTCCTCACAGTGAGGGGCAGAGACTGGAGGAGGAGGGGAAGAACACCTAGTGGTGTGGTGGCAGGAACTCAATGGAGGGGCTTTGTGGCAGGGCAGGAGACTGCCTAACCTGTGAGTCCTTCTAGGGTGGGGGGCGTTTCTGCTTTCCTCTCGAGAATGGGGCCTACAACCTTACTTTTTTTTAGGGGCTTGAGAACCCTAAACCTTGAGCAAGAAAGATCAGCCAGGTGGCAGTTTTACTGGCCTTTTACTCTCAGAGCAGGGGTTCTTCAGAGGTTGCTCTGTGTGGGCTGGGGTGAAATTGGAGGACGGAGTCCTGCTCTGAGCACCTTAGGGGTGAGCCAGGGCTTGACTTGGAGGCGAATGAGGGCTCAAAGAGGCCTGGGTGGTTTCCAGCAGCTGCTCCCAGTGCCCAGTACAAGAACTGTATTTCATCCTCATGTGGCCCCAGCAGGCTGGAGATGGGGAGGTGCTAGTAAAGGCTGGGGTAACTGGGCCCCAGGTCTCAGCTCTTATGACCCAGGGGGACCCCTTGCCCCATCCCTATCTGCTTGGCCTGGTACCTCTTGGGTGGTGGGGACACTCGGCTGGACACTGTGGACCTGCAGCTGCTGTGGCACTGTGCCCGCAGGGGCACCGGCTGTCTTGCTGGAGGAACTGTTGGCCTGCCCTGGCGATCGCTGGAAGAGAAGGAGACACAGCTTGGTCTGGGCCGGCTCAGGACCACTCAGGGCACCCGATCCGGTCTCCAAGAGCTATTTGGGGAGGCCAGCAGCCAGTGGGAGGAGCATGTTCCAGCCCTAGGGCTGGGAATGGGCATGCACCCATATGCATTGCCTGCCTCAATCCTGGTCACTCTAGTCAGCCTCAGCTCAGGGGCCACCTGCTACCTCCATGGTCTCAGGAGCTGGTGCTCAAGGCCAAGGGCCTGCTGTCCTGAGATGAGGCCGAGAAAGTGAGCAAGACAGGGAAGCCCGGGTGGCCCTGAGGGCAATTCTGAATGGTAGGAGGTACAGACCCAGCCCCTCAGAGGCCCTCCCAAGGCTGCAGCACTAACCAGAGTAGCATCAGATGTGGCAGGGTGCTGGTTCCTACCAGGGCTGTTCTGAGGACTCTCATAACAGCCCCCTTCCCAGATGAGGAGTGAGGTGCAGGGGGAAGAGTGCAGCAGGGCGACTGGGTGCTGCAGTGCCCAGTCTGTAATCCCATAGTGCCCTGGCAGGGTGGTACCAGCATCTGATAGCAAACTCTGGGCTCAGAAGGGTCACAGGACCTGCCTGAGTTCCACAGGGGGAACCAGATGAGCAGGGATCCAACCTTGAGCTCTGGCTCCCCCCTCTCCCATTTTGCTCCCAATGAAGCCACTGGAGCTACAAGGCCCACCTGCACCCAGTGGTGGGGGCTGTTTGACTCTGAATCAGGGTGGGCACCTGGCCTGGGAGAAATGAAAATGGCTGTCGGGAGTGCCAGGTTTGGGGAGCAGGAGGACTCTGTAGAGCTACTGGGCTCGGGGGCAGGGATCCCCAACGACACTATGGGCACACATGGCCAACTAGGGAGAGGGGAGGGAGGAGGTGGCCCTGGGACTTCGACTTACCTCAGGGGGTGAGTTCACCTGCTGAACTGTCAGGGACACCTGGCCGCCCTTGCTGCCCTGGGCTGGGCTCTGGACTACCAGACGTTGTGTGGGGAGGGCCTGGATCCAAGGAAATGGACAGTTCGCTGATGGACACCGATAGTGGCTACATACGACAGAGGTGACCCCGCGGTGCGGGGAGGGGTCCTGGTGCAGGTATGTGACTAAACTGGGCCTGCATCCAGGGAACTGGGCTCCGAGGTCACCAGAATGTGTTCTCAGCCTTCACACCCAACAGAACTGAGGTCAGTTCTGTGCTCACAGTTTGGGATGCAGGCATGACCTTGGCACCCGGCCTTCGTGCTCTGGAGGACAGGCCCCTGTCCCCTGCAGGCCCCCAAGCTAGCTAGGGGTTCTGGGCTCCAAATCCTCCTTCAACTCTCTGCTTTGAAGAGCTGGGAGAGAAGTGCAAGCAAACCACCTTCCTTACTACCAGTTCGTAAAACCCACCCAGTGCTATCAAGTTGATTTGACCTCATAGAGACTTAGTGTATGATTCCCACAGCTGTCAGTCTTTACGAGAGCAGAAAGCTGGTGGGTTTCAACTGCTAACCTTAAAGTTAGCAGTCTAGTGCCGCCATTCTTTCTGTTGAAATAACTCATGTGGTTCCTCTTCTCCCTACTGGCCCTGACTTTCACTGGAGAGGTGGCCACCTACACTGGGGAGATGGCCTCAGAATGGGTCCTGAGTCCTTGAGGTTAGAGAGGACAGACCTGGGAGGATGTGATGGTAGGGGCAAGTGAGGTGGCCTTACCTGCTGGGGTACCTGGATGTTGGTGAGCTGGAGGGGTGACACGTGGCCCGGCTTGGCCTGCACACTTGTCTGGACTAGCAGTCGCTGCAGGGACAAGGCATAAGGAGCAGGCCAGGTGGCGTCAGGCCCAGCCCTGCCAGTGGGAGGGCAGCTGCACCAACCATCTTGATAAGAACAGGTGAGCAGATGGCTCTGGCAGGAAGGAGGAGGGGAGGGGGCACCCTCACCCTAGCCCCTCCTCACATGCCTTCCCACCCACCCACTCTAGGGGACAGAGCATGGCCTACCTGCTGGGTGCCCTGCACCTGCTGAACCACCTGCGTTGGGACTCCGGTCTGGCTGGCCGTGGAGCCTGGGCTGGCCTCGGACACACTTTCACTGGCCCGCATGGCGCCTTCTGTAGGGAGGGGTTGATCCTCATGCTGGGCACGCTGCCCCAACTTGCCCAACCTCCATCCAACCTGAGCTCATGTGAAGGGGACTCCCCAAGAGCTCCCCCTGCCTCTTGGCCAGCCCATTAGGTGTCACATGGCAGGGTGGGTGGGAGCCAGATGTAGGGGAGGCCCCAGGGGTGAACCCTTTTTACCAAGATAGGACTGAGGTACAGGCAGGGATCTGACCTCCCCACACCAACCCAGGGTCCAGGCAGTGCAGAGGACCAAGGCCTGTGGCCACCTTCCCTGGGAGGACCCCTGGTTAGAGGAGGAGTCTCACAGATGACCTCACATCCCCCACTTAGTGTCCTGCCATCACCCAGTTCTCAGTCAGGCTCTCTGTCCTCATGGGGCTTATCACTGGGGAGATGGGTACTCACGCTGACAGGCTGCCGAGAAGAGGCAGTCATAGAACATGGTGCCCACCCGCCTGTCCCTGTCTGCCTGTCCGTCTGTCCGCCAGCCTGCCCAGGGGAGCCAGCCCAGCACTCCCTGCCCACCACTGAAGGAACAGCAGGATGCGTGGGTGGCTTTATACCCACAACCTTGGGTTGCTAATCCCCCAGTAGCTCCAGAGCTCCCCCCTGACTCCTGGCGGCACAGCCAAGCAGAGTCTTCACGGGCTTAACTCTGCAGTGCGAGCCTGGGTCCCCGATGCTATCGACGGGTACAGGTCAAGTTTCATGCATATCGCTCTGAGTGATTACTGGGGGCGGGGCGGGTGTCCCCAAGAGGCAGCTGGGACACCACCCAGCTTCCCACCCCATGTGGCTTGCTCTGCTCCCCGGCAACATCACAGGCCAGAGTGGATAGCTAGAGTCCTGGAGTCACCGGAGCTGTCCCTACACTGTTTGCATCACATCAGGCACTGCACTGGGGCCTTTCTGGGTGAGAACTTTCATTCCCTGATTTCAAATATGGGATCCCGGGGACAGGAAGTGACTGGCCCATGGTCACCCAGCTGGATGATGATAGGCCCAGGTGGCACTTAGAGTCACTGGTCACATCTGAGCTGAGGTCCCCAAGGGCAATAGTATGAATGTGTAGATGCAGGTGTACAAGAAGAACAGTGAGTGGGGGGGGTGGCGCTGTGGACGCATTGTCAGATCCAAGGCATTGTCTGGGGGAAGTGAGACTCCGTGAAAGCAGGGGACATGCCTAAAGGCTGTAAGAACCCCAAGGGCCAAGCCCAGGGCAGAGCACATGGTGGCAGTGGTGGGGGCAGAGGAACAGATGTGACCGTCATTTGAGCAGCTTCTACCTTGCTGGAATCTTCCCTCAAATCCCCTTTAGGCTTCCCTGGGCCATGAGGGAGATTGTCTCTCCAGGATAAACCCAAGAAAGCTTGTGTCACGTGAGGGGCCATTCCCCTGGGTATCCGTTGGGCACAGGGAGCCAGACCCAACCCAGAGGGTGGTGCTCAAGTAGAGGCCCTGGAAAGGGTTTCGCATGGTTCTGGGAGGGCAACAAGGTGGCTAGATCCTGCCAACTCTTGGGCTGAGGGGGCTCTGCTGAAAAGGTTGAGGCTGGTCCTAGAGTGGGACCCTCAGCAGGTGGAGGGAGGCCCAGGAACCTGCTGCCATCAAGTGTCTGCCTGAGACACTGGAGGCCGTGGGGAAGGCCAGGAGGGCTAGCACGAGGACAGGGAGCTGGTTAGACTTGGCCCACCCTCTGCACGCGGCATTTCCTGCGCGTGTACGGCTGCATGTGGGCTGGGGTGTTGGAGTCTGCGGACTGCTGTGGCTATCAGTCTGAGGATCTGCACTCGGGCCTGCACGAGGCAAGGGAGGGCCCCACTGTCTTAAGTCTCGAGTCAGGAAGAGGCAGCTGGTTTCCTGTCCCTGAATCTGATCTGACAATGGAGGGGGCTGCCCCTTCCACCCTGCCTCTCCCCCCGCCCATCCACTCATATCCTAAATGCCTTGGGCTGCTCAGAGGGAGGGGAGAAGGCTCAGCAGGCAGAGAGGCAGGGTGACCGTACCCCTCTCCTGTGCCTTTGCTCCCAGGGAGCATGGGCTCTCAAAGGGGTCTCTGGCCTTCTCTGCCCCAGCTGGTCCCCACATATGTCCTTGGGTATGCTGACTAAACACCCTTGTCTCCCTCTCCTAGACACAGGATTCTCAAGAACCCCAAGTGAACAGGAAGCAGAGAAGGGGCCACTCCAAGTCCCTTGTGGGGGCTTCATCCTCCTGTGGGCTGCCTGCCTGGGCCCCACACCACAGCCTGGCAGCCTCTAAGGACAGGGCTTATAAATCTAGTCTTCCTCCTGATGGGTAATTTGAGCTTCCTTCACATCACCGCCAAAGTCACCTTTGGGAAGAGGGTGGCTGCCAGGCCTGGAAGAGCTGCCTTCTGGGGCCGCTCTAGGCACACTTCCGCCTGCCTCCCCTGCCCTGCCTGCCCTGCAGCTCCAGGCCCGGTCTCCACCTTTCCCTCCTCTCCCTTCTGGACCCGAAGAAGCCCCAGGCAAAGCCGTCTCTGGTGTGGGTTACCACCCCCAGCTCCCAAGCTAGCTCACATGGCCTCAGGCAACCCTTAAACTCAGCAATCCCTGCTGAAGAGGAGGAGGGGTCTCTGGGACAGCAAGTGTGGCCCAGGATCACTTTGAAAGCTTACTTACTAAGCTTCCTCACTATGAATCCCCAGTTACTGCTAAGGGGGTTCTTCCCTCTACTTGGCCAAGGAGGAGACAGAGGTGGGGAGGCAGGCTTCCAAGCCGGGTCCATGGGACCCAAAGACTTTGAGTGGCCTTAGAGGACAACCTCCCTGTGGGCAGGGGGTGGGAGAGGAGGGGCTGGGGAAGCCAAGGAGAAGAAGAGGGTAGACTCAGGCTCTCAGGGGCTTACAGCCATCCCCCACTTTAGATCAAGTCAGGAAATCCCACTCTCACGAGGAGCAGAGGTGGACAGGAAGAGATGCTCAGCCAGTCTCATGGGCAGATAGATCACTTCGGGTACGGGGTACCCACTGGTGAGGCACCCTCAACCATGGTCCTTATCACCGTCCCCTCAGCTGGTCAGCCAAAGAAGGAGACCAAGAATGAGCGCGTAGGGGTGGGGGTTCAAGGACCTGAGGACACAAGGGAGGAGGCACCAGGAAGTTTGGGACAGGAGCAGCCTGGGGGCCAGAATGAGGGACGGGTGGGGCAGGCAAAGTGGGTGGAGCTAGGATGTGACTGAACTAGTTTACTAGTTTGAACAGGCTCTCTCCCACTGCTGGGGGTGGGGTGGCGGCTGAGGGGTAAGCAAGAGCTGGGTCAGGGGCATGAAGGTGGGTGAGGGGGTGAATATCCTGGAGGAGTTAGAGGATGGAGCTAAAGGATGGGTGGGGATAAAAAAAAACAACCCCAGAGCAAATCCACTGTTGATATGCAACCACCCTGTAGAGCAGAGCAGAATTGTCCCCAAAGGTTTCCGAGGCTGGTGTGCCTTCTGGAAGCAGACTGTCACAACCTTCTCTTTAACCACATCTTTCCACTTTAAACACACTGGGCTGCTGCGAAGTCCAAGTGGGCAATCGGAACTCACCAGCGCAGGGCCTGGAGTACAGAGTTCTCAAGGGCGAGAGGGAAGGGGTTCTAACTTAGGAGTATGTGGGAGTGGACTGCTGTTTCTGCCCTGGTGACTGTGATCATGTCCCCACCTGACCTCATCCGGGGCAGGGCCTTGAATGCATAGGGTGGCACACTGGGTGTGGCTCTCACACTGGTCGGTCAAGAGGCACTGTCCTATACCCTCAATCATGGGCCTTCCTGAAAACCCCAAGCTTCCATACGGGCACTCCCAGGGGCCTCAGTTGCCTCAGTCTTTTGGCTACCAGTGCCCCCGCCCAATCTTGAACAACCCTCTTCCACCACGCCCCCTTTCCACAATGGAAGGGGGGGGGCTCCCCTCTTACACCCAGCATATAAACGCTAAAGATGGGTAGTCCAGGTCCTGAGTACCTCACAACCCTGCTCCCCAGCACTCAGCGTGTTTCAACCCTGGAAAGAACCAGGCCTGAAGAAGATGCTTCAGGACAAGGAGACAAAGTCCTGGGTACGTTGGTCCAAGCTTTCAGGTAAAAGGGAGCCTCAGGCATGGCTCACAAGAAGGCAGCCCTGATCAGACCCTGGAATCCCAGAAACAACAGGGAGCTCCTCCAGGCAAAGTGATCTTTCTGGAATGCCTACTCTGGGCTGGGTCTGGCTGACAGCAAGAGGGGGAAACTGAGGCAGCTGTGCTCACACTGTTCTCTCCTAGTCCGATGGACTTCTGCACACTTGCACTATCCTATCTTCCCTTCAGGTTACATCTTACTTGGGGGTAGAGGCATTGGGGAAACTGGCAAGTTTGAGAGCTGCCATATTAGTGACAAGGGTTGTTCCAAGAGCCCTTGGACTCCAAACACAGGTTTACTTACCAGAGACGGTGACCACGATGTACTGCTGGGACGCTGGGGCCGGGGTGGGTGCCCCAGATGGCTGCGAGGGTGTTGGGGCGGCTGGGAGCTCCGTCACATACTGCTTCTGGCTTCCTGGTGGCTGCGCCTGGGGCTGGGGGCTCTGGAGCTCAGTGACATATTGGGGCTGAGGGGTGGCAGCAGCGGAGGGCGGCTGGGGTGGCTGGGGCGCTGATGGTGGTGGCGGTGGTGGTGGCTGGGGCTGAGCCTGTGTTGGGGCCTGTGATGGCTGGGATGGTTGCGGGGCTGCCTGTAGCTCAGTAACGTATGCCTGTGTTGCCATGCCAACAGTGGGGAAATGATTATAAATAAGGTTTTTTTTTCCCTTCCTTGGGAAGAAGGGGGGAGAGAAAAAAGCAAAAAAAAAAAAAAAAAGGAAAAACAAGAATTAATCCACAGGCAGAGGAGAGCAGAGACGGTGCCCAGCTCCCTGGAGACAGGTTTAGGTCCATCACTAACTTAATTAAATCCAAGGCTGGTGGCTGAATACAGCTCATCGCTGCAGGGAAGGGCTGTGAGGGAGGCTGCACCCCCACACTGCACTTCCTCTGAACCCAGGGACATCCACCTCTGCCTCTGGTCAAGCTGCCCTGGGCTGGGCTGAGGGAGCCTGGGCTGCCAGGGGACAAACGGTTTGGGGTTGCCCCTCCCCATCTTCCCTGAGTCCAGGACTTCTCTGGAGAGTGAGCTGGTGTTTCCTGCCAGCTCCTACTGGCTGGGCACTAAGCGGAGTGCATTACACGCTTGTTCTGATCTTAAACCTCACACCCACCCTTGTTTGGGCTGGGTCTACCTGGTGAGGAACAGAGATTTACAGAGGGTATGGAGCTTGGCCCCGGCTACATGGCCAGACTCAGCAGGCCAGATGTGAGCCCTGGGTACCTGCCAGAAGGCCAAACTACAGGAAAGTGATCATCCTGCACACCCAGGTCTGCTCCCTACACACATGCCACTTGGACTAGGAGGGACTAGGCCATTCCCAGTCTGACCCAAGAGGTATTTGAGTCCAAAAGATCCTCTGAGCTGCTGTATATGGATCATGACACCAGGTGAAAGCTCACAAGGGAGAGGGCCCTCTGAGTCCAGGTCACCATCTCTGCTGATTCACGATGGGGCCAGCCAGGCTAGCAGCTGAGGCTGTTAGTGGAGCTGGGTCCCTCCTTCTGCCGGGCATTAGGCTGGCCTGGCCTTGCTTCTGCTGAGCCCTGGTCTCCTGGGGGGTGGGGACGGGGTCTGTAGGGGCCCCTGCATGTGTAAGGAACGATGGAACAAATGGAGGAGTGGGTAGGGAGAAGCACCAGCGCCGGCACCTTCATGAGCCCTGGAGAGGTCTGAGTTTGAAAGCCCTGCCTGCAGCTGGGCATAACTTCATCAGTGTTCAGGGCCCAACTGGGAGCTGAGCCTAAGGGCTCTTCTGCCAGGACCACCAACATTTGTCCCCTTATATAGTAGAACATGGTGAGGGTGGCATTTGAACCAGGCCCCTGGCCTCCCAGATACAAAAGACATGATCTTGGTTCATTTCTTTCTCATGACAGGTAGTGTAACTGTCTGGGTGAGGCTCAGGTCTCCCCATCTGACAAATGAGGAGGGGAAGAGCTGGCCAGAGGAAGGCCCAGCAGGGGCAGTGGCTACTGCATTCTTCAGGCCTCTCCAGGGTCCCTAGTTTTGCTCTTTTGACACCAAATGAAAAGGTCTTCCAGTCAGGGAGCGGGCAAGCCAGCAGAGAAACGAGGCCTGGACAGGGGTGTGGATGAGGACTGCCTCTGCTCTGTCTGTAAGATGGGGACCAGCAGGCTGTGAGGCTTAAGGAGGAATGCAGTCTGCTTGTGTGGGTAGTGCCTGCCTGGGCACCTAGCATGGTGCTGTCAAATCGGCACTCATAGAGACCCTGTATAGGGTTTCTGAGGAGCAGCTGGTGAGTTTGAACTGCCAACCTTGCAGTTCCAATGAACTTGCATTCCAGTGCTTATCCATGGCACCACACCAGGACTTTGGCTCTGGGTCCCCTCAGTGCTCTGGGCCACCTGGTCCTGCCTCTCTGCCAGGCGCCCAGAGTCCCAAGTGGCTGAGAACAAATGGAAGCAGGCTCTTTCTGTCACTTGAGTGTGCTCAGCTGTGCTTGGGGCAGTCAGGGACTCCACTGGTTGGTGCAGGCAGAGCTGGCAGAGCCCTGGGGCCACCTCACAGGCCAGGCCGAAATCACCATGTTGGCATGAGAGGCAAAGGTAGGAGGCTGGCTGGGTCATGGCCCAGGCTTTCCTGCCCAGCAGGGTGGAAGGGCAGCTGGTCTCAGTGCCTCCCTACTACAGGGCTTGGGCATCACATCACTGGAGCCTTCAGCACCCATCTGCCTGGGACCAGACCTATCCAAAGGTAATCCTGGTGCCATCTTTTGGTACCCAAACCTGGGATATGACTACCCTTTCCTTGGGGGCTCAGTTTCCCCATCTGGGGAATGATGAGCTACCTGGATCACAGAGCTGATGTGGAGATCCAATGAGATCACCACTGACTCACCACCCACTAAATGCAGACAGTGGAAGCTGCTGTTACCATGATCTAGTCCACCAATACGGAGACCAGGTGAGGATAGAGGGGAAAGGACCAGGCATGCTCCTCAGACTCCGGAGGAGGCACTCACAGGGAATCAACTGCAAACTTTTGCATTCATTAGCATCACTTGGGGAGCTAGTTAAAATGTTGATTTCTGTGCCACTGCCACATCTTCCCAGAATTTGCTTTCATAGCTACCAACTCAGATAATTCAAAGGTAGATAGCCCTGATAGCCCTGGGAGACTTGAGAAATCTTGGCCTAGGCTTTGTCAGCCTAGGAGAGCTGGCCCTGCCAGGGGCTTAGGAGTCCCATTACTGTAGTCTGCCATTGTTTATCTGTCTGGGGACAGACTCACCTAAAGGGAACCCTGGTGCTTTCAACTGTTGGACCAAGGAAGGGGCTTTAAAAGCTCCACACTTAAAAAAAAAAAAAAAAGCTCCACACTAGTTGGTAATTTCTCCTCCAACAAGTGGTACAAGTTGAAATAAGTTGAAACAAGTGGTACAAGTCTACAGGTTTCATCCTTTTCACTGGGGCACAAGGTGGGGAGGAAGTGGTGATGAGGGCAGAAAGGCTGAGCTCAGAAAGGGAAGTGGGAGTTAGAGAACCTGCCAAACCAACTTCTCTATTAGAGGCTCCTCAGCACTGTCATTGTCACCCTCCAGGAAAGTGGCTCCAGAATGCCTAGTTCCCACAATCATTTGCCCAAGGAACCCTTTTTCCAGTTGTGGAATACTGGGTTAAGCAAAGCTATGCAGGTATGCTCCCTAGAGGGGAATAAATCACATCTACCAACACAGCATGAAGAGTGGCCCGTATTATTTGTGCATGAGACCCTTTTCTTTATGGAGTCTGGCACATGAAACATGGAATTCATTGCTCTTCTTAGCAATCAGCCCGTCACAAAAAGCACTAGTGATTGTGCCTACCTTTAAAGCCGAGAGCTTTTTTATAAGAGTATGTCTGAGTCAATTCCTTTAGATCAGGTGTCAGTAAATTTCTTCTGTAAATTAGGATCAGATAGTAAATATTTCTGGCTTTGTGGCCTAGCCAGTCTCTGTTGCAAGTACTCAGCTCTATCATTATTGTGCAAAAGCAGCCATGGACAAAATATATACTAAAGCACTTCAGGGTCATAGTTACAGACAATTCTTGTTGTTAAGTGCCGTTGAGTCAGTTCCAACCCATAGCACTCTGTATAGGGTTTCCAAGGAGCAGCTGGTGAGTTTGAACCACCAATCTTGTGGTTCAAACTGACTTTGTAGTCTAGTGCTACACAAGGACTCCTTGTTGTTGTTGTTAGGTGCCATCGAGTCGGTACTGACTCATAGTGACCCTATGCACAACAGAATGAAACACTGCCCAATCCTGCACCAACCTCACAATTGTCGCCACGCTTGAGCCCTCAGACATAACCAAATACCTTGCGGGATTGGGTTTCTGGGTTTGAAGGCTTAGGACCATAGTTTTATGGGACAACTTGGCCAACTTGTTCATAAAGAGTTCATAAAGCTTATGTTCTACATTCTAATTTGGTGAGTAATGTCTATGAGCAGCCACCTAAGATACAACTATTGGTTTCTATTCCTCTAGAGCAAAAGAGAAAAAAAACACAAAGACTCCAAGAAGAAAGTAGTTCACACAAAGCATGGCCTCATCAACCCTGAGACCAGAACCACCACTACCATTCCGACTGGAGTCATAATAGATGGATCCTGATAGAATGGGAGAATCCTGAGGAACCCAAATTTAAATTCTTAAAAAACAAAAACAGATTCACTGGAAGGTTGAGAATGGAGAAATCCCTGAAACTACTGCCCTGAAATACTCCTCAAACCTTGAGCTGATATTAGCCCCTGGGATCACCTTTTAGGTAAAGAACAGACTGACACACAAAATAAAGAATAATACCCCCAAATACTACACTCCCTTAAAAAAATCATCAACATGAAACAAACAATAACTGCTTTAAAAGCAAAGATGAAAAGGTAAGGTGGCAGGGCAACTAGATTATTAGAGATGGAACAACCAAAAGAGAAATAATGAGAATGTTCACGCATTGTGAAGAATGGAATCAATGTCACTGAACTACCTAAGGTCAAACTGTTGAATGAGAAACTAACCTGCTGTGTAAGTTTTCACCAAAAATGCAATAAAACATTATTTAAAAAAAGAAAAGAGCAGCCATAGACAATATACAAACAAATAAGTATGGCTGTTTTTCAATAAAACTTTATGTTTAGACACTGAAATTCTAATTTCATAAAATTTTCATGGGTTATTCTTTTTTCTTACCCAGACTCTAATACATCTGATTATTTTCTTTTCTTTTCCTTTCTTTCTGGCTTTTTTTTTTTTTTTTCTTTCAACTTTTTATTGTGAATTAGGTGGAGATTTGCAAAGCAAGTCACTTTTGCATTCAACAATTCAGACACATTTTGGTTCATGTCATTAATTGCAATCCCCACAATGTAACATCCTCATCCCACATCCTCCCCGTGTTTTGTATTTCTGTCTTCTATCTCTTCTTGCCTTCTGAACTTTGTTCTCAGGTAAATGTTGCCCTTTTGATCTCAAATGGTTAATTATTCTAAGGAATGCATACCTCCCTAGTGTTAATGTTCCCCAAATAGACCTATCTAACTAATGGTGTGGCGGTGTGGGCTAATGTGTCAGACTGCAAAGTTGTTTGAACTGCAAGCTTTAAGCTCACCAGCTGCTCCTTGGAAAGGCTATACAGGGTGGCTATGGGTCGGAATCACACTTAACAACAATAACAAATGAAATATTATTTGTGCCACAGATTACTATTCTTCAGATTTTGTTTTTTCAACCATTAGAAGAATATGGAAACCATTCTTAGTTCACAGGTCATACAAAAATATAGACCAGTGAGCCAGATTTGGTTTGGTTGCCTAATTCTATAGCTAAATGGTTTACATCTACGACAAGAGCCTCCCAAGAAAACAAAAAGAAAATTTACTTCCTTTATCCGTAAAATGGTTTTCCTCATTTATATAAAAACTTGCAGGGCAATGGGAAGGAAATGATGTGGGTTTCCCTCACTTTCTATAGTTCACAGAGAATGTGAAGTATAGAGTTCTGGTGCAAGGTCAACGGTTCAAACTCACTGGCCACTCCTTGGAAATCCTATACATGGCTGCTATGAGTCGGAACTGACTCAGTGGCCCTTAACAACAAAAACAAAAATAACTATACTTCATTAGACCTGTCACTCTCTCCTCAGAGCTGCCATTCTACTCACCACCACCATCATCTCTCTTGGACTCCGCCTCCTGTCTAGCTCTTGGCTTCGCTCCTGCACCTAGAGTCTTCAGGGTCCATTGAAAACAACCGTTCTATCTTGTTGCTCCACTGGCCAGAAGCCTCCAGGGATGCCCATCACAGAGAATAATCAAAAACCAGAGACTTCCCCCAGGAGCTCTCCTAGCATAATGGTTGTGAGTCGGGCTACTAACCTCAAGGTCATCAGTTCGATACTACCAGTGGCTCTGTGGGAGAACGATGAGGCTTTCTGCTCCCGTAAAGATTTACAGCCTTGGAAACCCTATACAGGGTCACTATGAGTCGGAACTGACTCCATGGCACATAACCACCAACCACCAGAGGCTTCCCCAGGACCTACAGGGTTTTGAGGGATCTGGCCCCTCCTGGCCCTTCCCTTTCTGAGAGGGATGTTCTAGTGACATTGGTTCTCATTCCTAGAATGCTTCTGTCTGTCCTATGGCCTCCTGCTTGACTAGGTTCTTCTCCCACCTTCCCTGGCTGCTCCTCCTCCTCCCAGCAGGCCTCCTCTACTACCTGGCATGCTATTTCCTGTGAATGTACCGATCTGCTCACAGCAACTCTCCCATCCACTGGTAAAGAAGTAAGTTCCCCAAGACCCATCACTTCACGTCCAGCTCTTAGAACCCAGGGAAGTGGGCAGGCACAGCTATTGTTGCCAAATGGGTATGGGAGTGCTGGACGCTCAGTGCGTTGTCAAAAGCCAGGCTGAATCTGCCGTTGGTGAGGCCTTGTGAAGACCTAGCAGGCTTCAGCTGCAGGGGCAGATGGTGAGGCAGGAGCCTACAGTGGAAAAGCCCCTTATCTGCGACCAGGAAGGTAAAGTCCTTGCTGGGAGGGTCGGCCTGGTCATGCCTCCTCGACACGAGGTGCTCAGGCATGTAGCAAGAGGGGAGGATGAGGACCTCAGCTCCTGAGACACTTTTCCCAGGTCCTCACCTTTCCCATGATGCCCATAACCCCTGGCTCACCCAGCTGTCTCCTGAAAGACTTGGGGCTGAGTCTGGACCTGGGCTCAGGGAGAATTTTTCTTTCTGCCTACTCTCCTAAAAGGAGCTCTGGTAGCGTAGTGGTTACAAATGGGCTGTGAACCTTAAGGTCAGCAGTTCGAAACTACCAGCCGCTCCGCTGGAGAAAGATGAGACATTCTGCTCCTGTAAAGATTTACAGCCTCGGAAACCCTGTGCAGGGTTCCTATGAGTCGGAATCGACTCCACGGTACTTAACAACAACAACTCTCCTAAAGCTGGAGAAATCCTACATGGGAGCAAGGAAAGTGATAGTTCCCATTCAAAAACAGACTCATTTTTATCCAGCTTCCTGGGATTCCTGGCATTGGTCCACATCGCCATCAAGTGTCAACCTTTAAAGCTAATGGCTGTCACAAGATTCAACATGATAAAAGCAAGGGCAGACAGTGTCATCCCCAGGGCTGAGCAGGACGGACCAGCCATCACATAATAGCAGCGGCTCACTGAGCACATGTATCTGATGCTCAACACGTGTTATTGGAGGTAATCCACAGAACAGAAATATAACATGACAATGATTGTTAGTGATTACTGCCCATAGTTCTGGAAGGAGGAAATGGAGGCCCAGAGACATTAAGAAACACGCCCAAGAGCACACAGCTAGAAAACAGCTGATTGTTTCAGGTACACCTCAACTACGCCAGTGCTCCCTACTCAGGTCAAGTGACCACTTTGGGCTCAGGCCCTTCACCCGTGAATGCTATAGCTGGGAGGAGGGCAGTCATCAAAAGCAGTTCGTGTCATTAACATGTGAGCCTTTCTAACAGGTACAAGTGACTTTTCTGGCAACAATGGCATTTCTAGATGTGTATTGAAAACAAATTTCCACTTTCCTAATTATCAAGGGACCGTCTCTCCTCTCAGAAAGGCCTAGGAAGAGCCCCTTGTAGAAGGAAAATCTCAAGCTCTTGGGGGTGAGCCTTGGAGAAACCTGGAAGAATCCTCATTGTTGGGAGTTTTCCGATCAGTTTAGAAGAAAAAGGCTGTAATTTGGACAGTCTGCTAAGCTCCTAAGCAAGACAGAGAAAAAGCCAAAGAATCTTGGCCCATCTGGCAACTTAAAAATAAAATCTTCCCCGAGCTGGCGGATCCTGTCACACTGCACAATCGTGGATCAGATTCTCCTCATTCCAATGTGGAGCATTTCCCCTTCCTCCTGACCTAGGTGTCCTCTTCTGCCCACATGGCCCTGAAAGCTAGTACCTCCTCAGTGACATGTGACCCAGTAGATGACGCTGCCTTGGCTGACACGAAAACATTGTCTCTGGCCAAGAGAAGCAGCTTGAGGAATCTAAGAAATGTCCTCAGACCACTTTTGTTCCCCTATCCCCAGAAGGGAGACCTTGATGGGCAAAACTGCTAGCAATCTCCTCAAACAAGCCTCTCCCTAAGACAGCAGGTCTGAGAGAGCTGCCCACAGAGAAGCAAATAGTTTCTTTTCCTCTCACTCTGTCATTCACACTCACCCCTCCCTACTTCACCTTCTGCAAAACAAACTCTGCAAGCTAAAGTAGAACCTGAGTCCCAGGTCCACAGCTTCTCCAAGAAACCGTGGATCCTTCAGAGAAATGGAGAAGATTTGGGAGTAGACAGGACACAAAATCAACACTAGTTAACAGATCCATCGATCAAACCACATCCAGAAACAATTGATGGGGTTAAGTTTCAAAAGATGGTCTCTAGATTAAGTCCTGGGAGGACTGGGCGTGCCTGAAATGCAGAAAGTGGAAAGAATGGCAATCATTTGCCACATTTTCGAGTTTGGAAAACCAAGGCCTCAGATGTGGCAGGCACCTGTCTAAGCTCCAGTCCTGGGGACGATTCGTTGTTCTTAAGTGCCACTGAGTCGGTTCCGACTCATAGCGACCCTATTTAGGGTTTCCAAGGAGCGGTTGGTGGGTATGAACAGTCGACCTTGAGGTTAGTAGTCCAGTGCTTTTTTCCTACAGCGCCAACTAGGACTCCCCTGAGGACAACTAGAGGATCCTAATGGTATCGCAAGTGCGGACTCCCTAGCACTGCCTCACCCTACTCCCCAAGGATCCGAATGACCCCGCCCACACCTTCCAGTCTGACCCCGCCCATCCACCTTGGTCCCGCCTCACCCCTCCCTCGCTTCCATTGGCCCAGCCTCCCAGACCCGCCCCTTGGCGCCTCCCGTAACATAAAAGCCCCCAGCCCCAGCCGCACTACCTCCACTTGCGGCGGGCCTGCGAACACCCGCCCCTCGCGGGGGCTGGGCCGCAACGTCCGGGGGCGGGTGTGTCGTCCCAACTGGGCCCTGGCCCCCTCCCCCACGGCCCCGACAGTCGCCGCCGCCATCTTGACCGCCCGCCCCTTTCCCCTGGGCTGTGATTACAACAACACCCACCTCCCGGGCTCCATGGCCCAGTCCGACCCGCCACCCCGGGGCTGCCCGGTTACCTCAGCTTCTCCCCACTTCTGTCCGCAGAAGGGCTTTCCGGAGGTGTTGGAGGCGATGTTGAGAAGGGGACGGAACGTGCCGGGGTCCCCGGACCTGGCAGGGGGGGTGGGGTGGGGGTCGGCCAGGCGGTTGTTGTTGTTGACTCGCGTTGCCGGGTTGCTTGGTCGCCACGACTACCGTGGCTATGGCGCCTCCGTTTCCCTCACCGGGGCAACTGTTGCTACCCACCCTACTTACGTCACGCATTGGGGAGGGGCCCCAAGTGATTGGCAGTGTTGTGAGAGTTGATTGGACAGTGTCGAGCCCTGCCACGAAGTTATTGGCTCAAAGGCACGCTTTTCAACACCCTCTCGAATTCCCGGCGCTCTGATTCATCACTATGGATGTCTATCAAAGGAAACTGAACCCTCAAAGGCAGTGAAGCCCGTCACTCCAGCAAGGAAGCAGCAGGCTAAGAATAAAGGGGTGGGATCTGAAAGGTCGGGATTGGTTTCTGGCGATTAAACACCTTCTGGTTGAACTAAAGAACGTCAATCTACCCCAAAGATTTGCCGCGCTCTGGCTAGAGTCCGTGCGCGTGCGTAGCACGCAAGGCCATCTGGGAGTTGTAGTTCGTTCTTACGTACTTTAAACCCCCTTACCAAAAATAAAGAGAGAGCTCGAGGAAGGAAGTCTCTTCCTTCAGACGTCTCCTTCCCCCCGTGGGCCAATGCCTGGTCTCTCAAGTTCACGTCACGGGAAGAATGTAGTGACGCAGCGTGGCTCCTTTATGACCTCAGTGATGGAGACTGACGTTCTCGTTTGATGACGTCATCTGTGCGTGTCTCTCCCCCCCCCCCCCCCCCCCACGAGGGCTGCTGGCTAATGTGGGCACCTCACGTGGGTTCGATCCCAGGTCCCAGCCAGGGAAACTGACCTACTCCCGGACTAAAAGCACTGTCACCTTGCGGTCTCTCACCCGCCCTCACCCAACCAGGAAAGGTCACCGCTGCCCTGGTGGCTGTGGCTATCTCGGCTCCGCAGGCGGCCCAGGCTGCCTAGGAAAGGTCTCAGGTGGGCGGGGGATTTAATTAGTCGCGGCGACGGCGAGCGATAAGCAAAGGTCAGCGCCGGGCCCCTCCGGAGGGGTTTGGGCCTCCGCTACCCGCTCACCTCTCCTCTGCCCTCAATTTCCCCCGGGCAACTGCTGGACCAGAGAACAGACAAAAGCAAGGCCGGGACTCAGGTGAGCTTCGGGTGCAAAAACTCAGTCCTCAATATACGTAATAGTTTGTAAAGTTAAAAGAAACCTCTGATGAACAAAATGTCATATTTTGAATTAAATGTGGTGTTTTCTGATCCTAACCAGGACTGAGGTTAGGGTCAGATGAGTGAGGCGAGTGTCAGAGGTACAGAGTAGCATCCTGTCTTTTAAATTGGTTTGGTATTTTGTTCATCATGAGGGTTTTTTGTTTGTATTAATTTTGCTTTCTTAAAAAGTATTGCGTGAGATATTTTGATGGCTCAGTTTTTAGTGTCCCTTACATTTTGAACCATGCGAAAGCTGGACAGTGAATAAGGAAGACCGTAAAAGAATTGATGCTTTTGAGTTATGGTGTTGTAGGAGAATATTAAAAATGCCACGGGCTACCGGTAGAACCAACAGATCTGTGTTGGAAGAAGTGCAGCCAGAGTGCTCCTTGGAGGCCAGGATGACCAAACTTCGTCTCTCATACTTTGGACATATTGTCAGGAGGGACCAGTCGCTGGAGAAGGATATCATGTTTGGTAAGGTGGAGGGTCAGAGAAGAAGAGGAAGACCCCAGAGAAATGGATTGGCAAAGTGGCAGCATTAGTGGGCTCAAAGTGTGGCAACAATTGTGAGGTTGGCCCAGGATCAGGCAAGAAGGCAGTGTTTCGTTCTGTTGTGCATAGGGTTGCTATGAGTTGGTGCCGACTCAGTGGCACCTAAGGACAACATTTTGAACCCTCGTCCCAACCAGCATGGACGAGAGAGGATAAAGAACGCACAGACTTGTTTGCTGTTAGCTCTTTGTTGTTGTTGTTAGGTGCCGTTGAGTCAGTTCCGACTCATAGCGGCCCTGTGTTGGGTTTCCGAGGAGTGGTTGGTGGATTTGAACTGCCAACCTTGAGGTTAGTAGTCCAGTGCTGATCCTACATGGCTGTTTGTTGGGTAGAGGGAATTGCCCAGAGTCTCAGGCTCTAATCCCACTTTTCTTTGGAATATTGAGAAAGCCTCGCCACCTGTCAGAGCCCCTGTGCCCCAATTTTACCTACAGCATTTTCTCCATGCAAGCCCTCATGGCTATAAACACAAAGAAAGCAGACTAGTCGTTTGACTTTGCATTCTAGTCAGGCACTGTAGGATAAGCACTGGACTACACACCACAAATATTTGCAGCCTCGGAAACAGGGTCGCTATGAGTCAGAACCGACTCAACAGTATTTAACAACAACAACAAAGGGAGACAAGGAGTCTTGATGTGGTGCTGTAGGATAAACACTGGACTGCTAATGACAAAGTTGGAGGTTCAAACCCACTAGCCTCTCCTAGAAAACCCTATACAGAGTCACTGTGAGTCAGAACCAACTCCACGGCCCTTAATTACAAAGGGAGACGATAAATTGGGCAGTTAATAAATAAAAGTTTCATAAGGGCTATACGGGAAATATAGCAGGGTGTGGAGAGAATTAAAAGAGATCCTTTAGAACTTGTTATCCGAGGAGTTAAAGGAACTGAGACCAAGGGATGAACAGGCCACTCAAGGCCCAAGTAGAGGGGACTGCAAAGAGAAGAGATACAAAAGGCCTGGGACAGAAGGAGCCACAAGAAGCTCCTCAGATGTTGAAGGCAGAGGCAGAGGAAGCCAGATAATTTCACTAAAGTCCTCACCACAACCCAGCAAGGAGGGCCAGTCCCCCCATTTGAGAGGTGAGCAAACAGAGGCCCAGAGCTGGGGAATAGCTGCTTACCAGAGCAGGCAACTTGTCCCTTCCCGGGACTTTCCCCGTGTGTTTGGCTGCCTCTGGGCATGACTCTGGCTGTGAGAAAGGAAGCAAGCAGCAGCAGCCCCATCCTGCCTGGAAATGCCAGCTGAACCCCAACCCATGAAAACGGCCCCTCAGAAACCTCCAAGGCAGGCAGCTCCCACAAATCAGTCCCGGCTCATCTGTGAGACAGGTGGGCTTCTAGTGCTAGTAATGGGGTTTTCATTGTCAGGGACAAAACCTACAAGCCCTATTTCTACCTCAACAATTTCCCCACCTCCCAGAAGTCCCTGAACCCTGAGATGGACACAGCAATACCTGGAGATCATATCTTCAATCATACCTGTTCATTATAAACCTTAGTGGCTGAAGAAGGCGAGGACTGTTTTCCATATTAATAAGGGTGGTGGTTTATGAATCTATGGAGGTACAAATTCACTGAACTGTTCACTCAAGCTCTATGCATATTGCATATGTGACGCCTCAATTTAAAAGTTACAACACGTATGCTGTTAGAAATGGCTTGCCACCAACTCCTTCCTCAGTATTGTTGTTGTTATGTACCGTGGAGTCAGTTCTGATTCGTAGCAACCCTGTACAGGGTTTCCAAGGCTGTAAATCTTTATGGGAGCAGAAAGCCTCATCTTTCTCTGTTAATCATTAAACATAAGGAATCATCTTGCCTTCCCAGCAGAATCTTGTCTTTCACCATCACCCCTTTAGTTTAAGAAGAATGTCAGCTAATAAACATGGAAGGAATGAGAGTTAGAAAACCACTGTTTTGCCAACTCCAACGAAATAATTGGTTTTGGCAATGATCGTCAATGGGTGCATAAAGCCATTAGGGGAGAAGATGGTTAGGAACCCAGAATATGACCTCCCAGAGGGCTCACCAGGTTTAGGTAGGTAACTTCATCATGGAGGCATTTAAGGGATACAGCTCAGCATCATGGAAGAGGAATAAGTGTGTGTGTGTCGGGGGGCCTCCCATATAATGTAAAAGGAAATTCACAGCTTCCCCTAGGATCCAGTCTTCCCCAAATGCTAAACCTGACTCTTACCAAGTGTCTAGAACTAGTATCCTGTATACAGGAAATGAAAGGCGTGAAAGAACAAGTTAAAATGACAGAACCCAGAAGCAATAGACAAAGCCAGAAGGTGAGACAGGACAACTGTCTCATTCTCTTCAAGAAGTTGTTATTAGGTGCTGAGTTGATTCAAACCCATAGTTCCATGTGACACAGAAGAACTGGCCATAGGGTTTCCTAGAGTGAGAAAGATGTGGCAGTTAGCTTCCAGAACGATTACAGCCTTGGAAACCCCATGTGGCAGTTCTACCCTGTCCTAGAGGGTTGCTATGAGTTGAAATTGACTCAGTGGAAATGAATGGCTTCTTTAAAAAAAAAAAAAAGTAAAGGTGAGCAGTTTGAAACTAGCAGCTGTTCCGCGGGAGAAAGATGAGATGTTCTGCTCCCTAAAGATTTACAGCTTCGGAAACCCTGTACAGGGTTGCTATGAGTCGGGACTGACTCCACAGCACATCACAACAACAAGAACAACATATATATATTATATATATGAAAGCAGATTGCCTGGTCTTTTCTCCCACAGAACTGTGGCATGGGTTTGAACCACTGACCTTTCAGTTAATAGCTAAGTGCTGAATCATTGACACCACTAGGGCTCCTTTCTTCAACAAATTAATCACAAAAGAAAAAAATGGGATGGGGCTATTCTAGGACAGGATTTCCTCAACCCCAGTACCATTGGCATTTGAGGTTGGGTCATTCCTTGTTGTGGGGGTGGGGGTGGGGGGTTGTTGTCTGAGCATTGTAGGCTATTGAGTTTCATGTCTGACCTCTATCCATTAGATGCAAATAGCAACCCTTTCCCTAAGTGTGACAGCCAAAACTGTCTCCAGATATGGGCCAGTGTCTCCAGGGGGAAGGGAAAATCCCCTGGACACAGTCTCTGCCTTAGAAAAAGCTGAAGTCAGTAGTAACAGAAGGAACCCTTGGCTCTGAACTATCTGCCAGCAGAAAGAA